TCTATAATAGTGATAGATATTGTCAATAAAAATCTTAGCTATTTCTTCATCCAAAATAGATTTTTTATATGGCACAAAATATACCATTTTGATGAATTGATCTATGATTATAAATATAGAATCATTTGAACTTGAACTTGGAAGATTTGTAATAAAATCTATAGAAATAGAAGACTGTGGTTGTTTGGATATCGGCAATGGTTAGAGAAGTCTATAGGATTGATGATAAGGAGTTTTTGATCTTGAAAAAATGTCACATAATTAGACAAAGTCTTTTACTGCCTTCCACATTTGCGGCTATCAAAAATCTCTAGATTTAAGCTTTAAAGTCTTGTTGTATCCAAAATGTATTACTGTTAGAAAGTCATGATGTGCTTGAAGAATACATAAATGTACTTTTCTTTCTAGAATATATAGGCATCTTTTGAAATAAGAAAGGTTGTTCTTCAACTCAAACTTTGAAATATCATTAGACTTAAAAGAAAGATTCTTGATATTATAAATGAGAGGATCAAAAGACATACTTGATTGAATTTTTTTGACAAAGATCAAATCAACAATCAATGTTGATTTTATTGCTCAAAGATGAAAATATTTTGGCTTCAAGAGGATTATTCTTTGTTGATCAAAAGATACATCTCCTTCTTTTGGTACAAGTTAAGTACATCTAAAAAGAACATTTGATAAACCTTGTTATTTTTCAAGTCAATATGTTATCTTAAAATCAAATCTTAATAATGACATGCTCTAACAAGCTTGGTGATAATTTAAAATAAGTGTTGATATGAAATATTCAAGGTTCTTGTGATTTGTATACATTAAGATTGGACTTGAAGCATCTTCTAGATAATGATGCCATTCTTAAAATGAATCCACAATTACAAGAAGTTCTTTATTGTAGATCTCATAGTTAATCTTGGTTGCTAAAAATTTCTTAGAATAAAAAGCTATTGTATAGAGTTTGTCATCTATTCTCATTAGTGATAATACTACATCTAAGGTAAATTTTGATGCATCTATTTTTATAAAAAATTCATTAAAAAAATTGATGCAATGCAAAGTTGGTGCGGAAGTAAATTCCTTCTTCAAAGCAACAAATGATATTTTGGCTTCTTTATTCAACTTAAGTTTGTCTTTACAAGTAAAACAAGTAAGTGAAGTTGCAACTTGAAAAAATTTCTTGATAAAGATTTGATAATAATTGGCAAAGCCCAAAAAGCATTACATATCTCTTATTGTTCTTAAGATCTTCCAATCTATAATAATTTGGACATTCTTTAGATCTATCATAAGGCCTTTATTAAAAATGATGTATTCCAAAAAATCAACTTGAGTAATATGGAATATACACTTTTCCAACTTTGCGTACAATCCTATATGTCTTAGTTTTTATAACACACAACAAACATGAACTTTATACTCTTTTGTGTTCTTATAATAGATTAAAATGTTATCCAAATAACAAACAATAAAATCATCAAGCAATTCACAAAAAAACAACATTCATTACATATTGAAAAGTAGTTGGTGCATTCGTGAGTCAAAAAGGCATGATATTATATTCAAAATGTCCATACCTAGTTCGGAAAGCAATCTTCCATTCATTTTTTTTTTTTTTTTTTTTTTTTTTTTTTTTTTTGATGTGGACCATGTTATATGCTCTTTATAAATCTATTTTGTATAAAACTGTGCTTGATTTAGTTGATCAAGAAGTCCTGAAATCAAAGGTAGAGGATACCTATTATTAATGGTGATTTTGTTTAGTCTTCAATAATCTACACATATCCACAAAGATCCATTTTTTTTCTTTACAAATAAGATAAGAGTACTGACTTACGATTTAAAATGGCATATAAAGTTCTTAGCTAAGTTTTCATCAATATATTCTTTGAGTATAACTAACTCATTTTGTGATAGGCTATAGATTGGTCCAAATGGTGGTTGAGTTTCTTCTTGAAGATCAAAAGTACAATCATAACAATAATGCTTTGAAAGAATATCTGTATTTTTTTTAAAAAAAATGTCTTGAAAATCTTGATATTGACTAGGAATATCACTTGATATCTTGTCACCATGATTAATGGATGTGGCATATATAGCAAAAGATGGCCCTTTAATTGCAGCATGCTTGAAAGCTCTTACACCTACCAATAAGGAGTCTAGTATATCCACCTATTTGATAGGTGCAAGAGCTTTAAGATGTGTTTTGATACTATTAATACATATTTGATTAATATAATCAATACAAAGCATATGATCAATGAATTAGAGTCTATATTAAATAAATTATATACAAGAATATTTCATCTAAATAATTTTTCAAGTAAAAAAAGATAAAAAATCAATAAAATAAAATAAAATAAAATTAAGGACTAAAATATGATAATGAAAGATTGAATATCACTTTGAGGTATTATTATGCTTTGATGCTATAAATATTATGATTAAATAATATTTATAATATCAAAGCATGTATTAGACAATAGCTTATTAACCTAAAAGATCATTGGTTAAGTCCATTTAGACTTTACAATCTAATACTATTAAAATTAGATTTTTAAAATATTTATAATTAAACAAGTTAATAATTTATATTTTTAGCTATAGAAATATTAAGATTTTGGCTATAATATATAATATGATAGAACTTTTATTCTTGGAGGAAAAAAGAAGTCAATAGAATTTTGGCTAATAGATTTCCTATACAAAAGGTATCAAACAAAGCTACTTGGTGGTTCTATGTCTTTATTTTAATATTAGATAATTTTTATACTTAAGTTTAAAATTGGCATCAAATCAATTAAGAATAAAAAAAATCCTTGATAATAATAAACACTCAATTAATAATTAATTAATATGTTGATAGTTCTACTATTTTTAATGGTTTAAAATTAAATACAGATTTTTCTATTAAAATTAGAAATGAATGGATTTTTTATCTTGATTAAAAAAATAAAAAAATAAAAAAGTAATAATAAAAAAATAATAATAAATAATAAATAAATAAATAAATAAATATTTTATGTTATTATTCTATTATTCTATTATTATTATGATCTAATATATATTAATAGAATTAGTTCCAAAAAGAGAACTAAAATTATTATTTGATAATTTCTTTAGTATAGACATCACATCTCTAATATTTGATAATTTCATGCTTTGATAGTTTCAAAATAAATTTGTATACTAATGTTAATAATTTTTAAACTATTTAAAAGAATCTTAATAGTTAATTTTATAATATTGGATTTTATTGTCTATTTTCCAATAAGAAAATTTAGGCCATAAGACATATACAAATGTTGGCTTAGAATCTCTTGTTGGCAATTGAACAAAATTATAAACACTATTAAGAAATACTATTATTAAAGCCAAGATTCTATAGAAATTTTGCAAGCCATTGTATACAAAGAAAAAGACTTAATCTATAAGATTTTAATATGATTCTAAAGGCTGTGGTAGTCAAATAGATTCTAAAAATATTTATTGTCATTTAAACACCTCTAAAATGAATAGAAGTACTCATAGAAGGCCCTTCTAACTTCAAGATTAAGAATTGGTCAAACTTATATCATTATAAGAAGGACTAATCAATCTTTATGTTCTAAGTGCCAATAGATTGTAAAGGTAGTAAGAATAATAAAGAATTTACATCAAATTGTGATATTTAAATAGTTTTTTATTTAATATGTAAAACCAATTATATCCATAAAAACTTTAGTGTTTTTGAAGTTTATTGAAATTGGTATTGGATGATCTTTCTTTTCTACTTTGTTATAGGATTATAAAATAACAAAAAATTTAAGCTATTCACAACAACTTTCTTATTTTTTTTGGACCTATAAAAAAATTAGAACTTAATTCTAAAGATTCTTTTTAGGATGAAATTTGTTCTTGTATGAAACATAATGTAAAAATGCAAGAAATTAATTTGAAATAATTTTTTTTATACCAATATAAATTAAAAAATAACAAAAAATATTATATTTAGAATAAAAAATAAATTATAAAACCATATAGAAAGATATTAAGATTAAAAAAAAATACATATTTATTTTTTTGATTTGAAGTAAGTATTTTAATAAATGTTTGAAACAAAAAGATTGTCAAAAATATTAACAATGCATATCCATTCTATACCCTTAAAATCTTTGAGAATATGCTTAATAGATTTTGGTATTATAACAAGGTCCAAAAACTCTTGGATTGGGGTGCTAATACAATTCACTTCTCCAACAAATAAGAGCCCAGATGTAAATCTGAATAAGCACTCACAATTTAATAAAAAATTTTTGGTGATACACTTACCAACATTAAAGATATGAGAATTTTAAGACTACTAAGTTTTGAAACTTGTTTTTGACCATACAAATAATAATAATAATAATAATAATAATTAAAAAAAACAATTGGAAAAAATTATAAACAAATAAATAAAATGGAGAGATTCATTTGATACAAGCTAATTGATTATATTAAGGCATGCTATTGCAAAACAAAAATACTATCCATAAGAAACCTCTCAGTAAACTCAAATATCTTCTAAAACTAAGAGTTGGGTAAGAGATAGCAGGTTAACTTTAAGTATAGAAAACTAAACAAAGTGGAACTATGTTCTACCTCTGAAGGTAAGGATAGCTTATCCTGAGTACAAGCCCAGGATCTGCCTGAACTTCTTGTTTAACCTGAATTCCATTAACCAGCAAGGAAGGCTAAACATCCTTATGCTTCAAGAAACAAACAAACAGTGTTAGCTATTTTGCATTCGTACAAACCGCTAGATATTGAGCACTAGAGAAGAAGAAAGATCCTCTTGGGACGAGAATAGCGTGGAAAGATTAAAATCACTGGTCCTTCTGCGTGGTCAATGAGAAGTAAGACTAAAGAGCGAGTCTTCAAGAGCCAACGACAGCCCAAGAGGATGTGGAGACAAATCAATCAATCCTATGTGAGGACAAACGCATGATTTAAGCAACTTTGTAGAGTCTGCAGAATGATTCAGAAAAATGTAATGAAATTTTAAAAAGACAAAAAGAAAAAGAAAAACATGGAGAGAAGAATCTCTCATTCTCGTTATGCTACACGACTTTGTCTATCTCACTCTCGTCCACAAGTTTTTACAATGCCATTGCATTCGTCGTCCCTAGATGCTGAGCCAGACTCTCCTACAAGTTTTCCGAAGTAGTACGACGCAAGCTAATATCCACAGCGGGGCATCTAAAGCCTGCTGTCAAACTAATATAGCTTCTGTAATAATCAAGTGGTTTCAACCATTGTTAAATGTTGCACGAATAGATATTGTTTTCATTTCTTGATTTTTTTAATCTTTAGATGTCCATACAAATATTGGTTGGTTATAAATCAAAGTGAGACAGTTAGAAAATGTTAAGTGATAGTCGTTAGCAAATCTAGTGTTTCACAGAATACAGAAGGGTAAGTTACTCTTCCGTTTCTAGAGTGCAGAACGGAGCATAGACCGCAGTGTAAGAAACCTCGTTTCCTGCATCACAAATTTACTGTGTCGAAAATAGGTCAAATACTCCAGAGCTGTAGAGGGAAAAGCAAGCTGATAGTAGCTTGATACCTATGTTCACAAACCCCAAATACTCAGCATCCATGGAATAGGGTTGGTGGCATGATCACTCCAGGTATTGTCGCCCATTTGGAAAGTCCCCTGAGATCTCGTCCGAGGTGCAACTAGTATCTTGGGAGAAATTGGAGATGAACGGGGCCATTCACCACAAGGTCCCAGAAATAACTATGGGGTTCTGATTTCAAAGAGGAATGACTATTTGTTTTGAAATTAAACCAAAATTTTGTATTTGAATAGGGAATCTGGACATTCCACTCGACCAATACTTGAAGTTGCACTGGCACTAAAGGTCAGTTGCCTCCGGTAGAGAATGTGTCACAGCCATGACAATTGTAAATGAGAAGAAACTGAGTAGTGTAATAAAGATAATAATAAAGAAATAATATGGTGAAAAACAAGGAAAGTAAAGCAAAAACTACGCAAAATGCATCAAGAGTTGGTGACATGAAAATGAATCGGAGCCTGTCGGTGACTCGTGGTCCCCGCTATTCATGGGCTAAAGATGACCATGATTAGTACGTGCGGCAGCACCAGGGAGAATATCCGGGGTTTCATCCCCCCCTTCAGAAGCACCACACAGCCCAATCTTTCCATTTATCGAGAATAGCCACAGAAATGAAAGAAACAGTGGACACTGCACTGCACTGCTCTGACGTGACTTGAAAACATGACAGCTTACTTGCGAGAGTTAAAACCTAGTTATGTTGCTCCTCCCCAGTTGTCTTCAAATGCCAGGAATCGCTGCTTGTCTGCAACGATGCCGTAGCATGTATTGATGGCAAGGCGTCTCAACCGAGCTGCGGTGCACATGCAAAAATCTCAACCCGGCGACAAGACGAGGGGGCCACAAAACGACACACGGAAGGCATAGAAGTGGGAGTTTTAAAGGAGAAAGAAGTGGAAGCAGGGGTCGTACACATACCTGGGCATTTCCAGATCTTAGGCGCTGGTTGGGGCCATGAAGGTTCCACTCCGGACTCTGGGCTCAACGAAAAGGAAAAGCAGCGAAAAAGGGTGGAATTAAGTAATTAATTCGAAGAAGCACTGCATTCGAAGCGCACCCTTTCCAAGCAAATCTCGCTGCTTGCAGCCCATTTCTCATTATTTTTCTCCCCCGAAATCCTGAACAAGCAGCTGCGTCACCATGAGCTCCCCTACTAGGATCTCCACGCGGCCACATTTGTTGTGCGGACCTAGAAATTAAAAAAAAGCGGTGCTGATTCCAACACTAGTTCTCGTTGCTTTCTTTCTTTGTTTGTCTAGTTTTTCTGGAAGTTTCTTTTGATTGCTGTGGCAGAACATGAACGTCGCACATTTGGATGGCGTGAAGTAACAGGAGGATGAGGAGAAAGCATGAAATCACAAAGTAAGCAAGCATGGAGTGTGGTTTTGGTCCATAGAAGTGTTATGTATTTGGTTGGTGTAGAATAGTCTTAAACTTAAAGGGTGATAGTTTGAATCTCAAGTCATAAAATCTTGACCATGCTTGATAGATCATTGCATATTTTTTTTATTTTTTATTTATTTATTTATTTTTTTGTTTTGTTTTTTTGTTAACAAATAGAAAAAGAAATGTTGCTTATACATATATAGATGTGAAACTTTTGTTTCATTCATACTTAGCTAGAGGTTTGGTAGCTCTGTCAACTCAATTTGCAATGTGCCATTCTTCATTCATATTTAGCTAGAGGTTTGGTAGCTCTATCAACTCAATTTGCAATGTGCCATTCTTCATATTGCATGGCATATAAGGCACCTACTCGGACCAACTTTGTTGTAAGAATTTTTATTCTTTAGTTCATCTCTTATTATATTTGGTCAATTTTTTTCAATTTTAACTTGTCATGTAGTGAATAATTTGGTCATATAAATTTTCATATATATATGTTGAGTATCTTTAATCAAATGTCTTGTGATATGGCATCAAGTGCCAAATCTTGTCAAATGTATGTAATTTAATTTAGTTAGTGATTTTTCATCCATTGATAATTTTTTCATTAGTTGACTTATTCATGTCAATTAGGTTTAGAATACTCAAGTGAAAAAAAACCCTTGACTTGACATTCTTGTCAAATCAAGTTTTGTAAGTGATTTTGAAAGTAACAAATATTGTTATAAGAATTTGCTTGGTTATGGTGTTTTATCCATTTTAGTAAAGCTTTAGGGTTTTTCTTATTTTTACACATATACTCTTGGATTCCTTTTTTGTGGTGTGAGAGATAGCTTGACTTAGTTTGGTGTAGATTTCTAATCTTTCACTTGATAAGAATTTCTCCTTCTCTTCAATTTGTATTTTTTTATTTTTAATCTACTTCATTTTAACTTGCAATGTAGTGGTTTGATACAAACTGTGACAAAAATATCACAATGGTAGTTGGTAGCTAGTGGCGGCCAATAATAGCTTGTAGTATATTTTGATGGCTCAAGATGTCAAGCCACGATTTTAAGTGAACACGATCATAAGATTGCATAGTTACAAGATATTTTTGTAGCCATAAGATCAATGGTAATAAAGATCCATAGTCAAAGGTCCTTGTGGTCATAGGATCCATGGTGATAGGATGCGTGGTGATAGAAATACACAGAGACATAATCCATGATGACAGAATCTAAGTAACAAGATCTTCCATGGTCAAAGAATTTACGATGAAAAAAACTTCATGGTCATTGGTCTCATTGTGCAATTATAAGGTATTAAAATAAAAATAAAAATAAAAATAAATAAATAAATAAATAAAATTATCTAAAACTTGTAAGTGTCAAATTTAGAAGCTCACTCTAAGTACATATAGACTCCAAATTTGATTTTTTTTTAGTCAATTTTATGTGGAAGAAATCCAAAGAATTCATTGGTGTGCTTAATTTTTAGAGTAAAGGTTATTTGAAGCATTGAAGTGGAATTATTAAAAGTTGATTGCTTTTTAAGTAAGTTTTTGATTTTTTTTTACTTCTCCATATTTTATTTTATTATAATTTTCTTTTATTATAAGAAATTTTATGATTTGTAACCATTAATAGTAGGTAAGTGATAATTATTCTAGTTCACTTTGATTTTTGCTTATGTGTTGTTGAGGATGAAGATCCAATATGGACTTATGGATTTTTATTTTGGTACATTCTCTTACTTGATGATATTATTTTTAGAGGTTTTTTACAATTATTCCATTTGATATTTATACTAGTTTGTATTGATAGGCATATTTTAGAAACAAGGTCAAATTGATGGCTAGCAAGATCCTTTTGTTTGTAGATATGTTGAATTCAAAAGCCTGGTAGTTTTGCAGGCACATGTTGTCCTTTTAGGCTTTAGATAGTTGCAAGTATCCAAGTAGTTCTTTTATGGTACATACTAGGAGTTGATATTATCAATCTTCTTCACCAAACTACTTGGATAGTGATCACATCAAAGACTTTGAGTTAGAAGTAGATACTAATGAGGCTTTTTAATCTATTTTAGCATTGGATACTACTTGGATACTGATCACATCAAGGACTTTGAATTAGAAGTAGATACTAATGAGGCTTTTTAATCTATTTTAGCATTGGATACTACTTGGAGGGTTTAGGTCTTGAAAGTAGATATATTTTACAAAATAAAAGACAATCCTTGTAACATAGCAAGAGATAGATTCTTAGGACAAGTTGAGGCCATTTCTTTGCCAAATTAGAAATTCAGATTTCAAATATGGATGAAGAAAAAAAATCAAAGGTCTTCCACTTTCAATGAATGTTATATCTTTGAACTCTAAGCACAATATTTGGAGTACAAGGTACTCTAAATCTATGAAAAATGAAGTGGAAAGTGATAAACATTTACTTGAGTTGTGTAAAGTAAAGTATTATTAAGAGGCATGCATATAACTTATTTCAGCTCTTAAAGAAGGTGCTATTTCAAGCTTCATGCTTGCAGTAAAGAAAGAAGATTTAACATAAAGAGAAGTTAGTAGTTCTTTAGAAGATATCAAAGAAAAAGAAGTAGTTACTTTTTTAATTACTACTTCAATTACTTTATTTTTCATGACTCAAGCAATAAACACAGCTTTATCTGCAATAGAAGAGCCATTATTATTTGAAACTCTCCAAATATTTATTAAGTACTTGTAGCATGAGTATGAAGGTTTTAGGTGTGATGAAATGCAATGCATTCAAGACTTCTGTCATAAAAAAGAAGATACTACAAATATCATGTATACTTATTTGACTTAGTTTGCAGTAGAATCAGGAAGTGTGTTTGTTGAGATTCAACTTGTTAAGATTTTTTTATCTAAGATTGACAAGAAATTTTTGGATTTAGTCACACTAAGAATTATTCTCAACTATGACAGCAAGGTTTTATTGGTACAAGCATTTGCTAAAGTTAAAAAATATGATAAGACACTTTGTCAATATAATGCTATTGACATTGTAGCTTTAATGATAGATGTATCTAAGTCCAAGAAGATGGCAATTGCAATAAGTAGCTTGGCAAAAATTCATCTTGAAAAGACTATGCATTATTGAAGATGTGATGAATTTGGTCACATTAAAAATAATTCTAATTGTCTTAAAAAGAAGAAAGACTTACACATGGAAAAGTTTAAGCCAAAAGCTGAGATGGCTAAATTTGGTGATAAATCTAAAAAGAAGCAATTGAAATGTTTTCATTGTGGTAAAATTAATTAAAATGAAGATAATTTTTCCATATTACATTTACATAAATGGCCTACTTTGGATTAAAAAAAGGCCTTAGAAGCGAAAATTACTAAATTAAAAAAGAGATTCAATAGTGTGGCTTCATTATACCAAATAACTAGATTTTATGTGGCTTTTAGAAGTGGAATAAGTTATTCTTTTCTAAAAAATTATATATTTAGTGCATTAGAAAAAATAGTAGTTGTAGCTACCACATGTGCCCAAACAATAGCTAAGAATATGGTATCTATAATAAGTAAGATACTAGAACCTTTGTCTAGCTATCTAAACAATCATAGAGATTTTAATACTCATGTATGATTGTCTTTATGTTTTGGCCTTGAAAATATTAATTCTACAACAAAGTCTTCTATTTCTCCTTTAACATAAGATAAAAATATGAATGTTAAAAATATGGTACATACTTTGGCTTACAAAATTTTGAATATGCCTATATTTTCTAGTGTTGATAAGTTGGCTTTAGAATTTAAACCAATAAGGATCTTTCAATTGATTGATAAAATTTTAGAAAAAAAAGTATCTATGTCATTATTAGAAAGAATTCAAGTCATAATAAAGCCTTTAATATAAGAAGATTTCTTTAAGTTATAAGTAAAACTTACAATTGAAGCTATTGCCACACTTGATGAAGGTTACTTATAAGCTACAAACATAAATCCTTCAAGTGATGTGTCATTAGCTACAATGGTAGTATTTTTATCTAATGTTGCAGCTAGACTTGCTCAAAAATGTCAGTAGTACTTGTGCTGTACTTTAGTATGTCATATTAGATTTTGATGCTCAACCAATTATGATTAATAAAAAACTTACACAAGAATTAGATCTTACTATTATAGACTTAGAATCTTGTCTTTTCACCATTGTCACTTTTGTAAGGGGCATAGAATGAACTACTAGCTATACCAAACAACCTTTATAATTAATATTTTTCATTGAATCTAGTCCACTTTATTTATACTTATTTTTAAAGTGTGCAATGAATAATGCTATCAAATATGATATTTTAGTAGATCAATAGGTCCTTTATCCATTTGATTTTGGCCTAGATAATTTGATTGAAGAAACATAGATTTAATCATGATGGTCTATTGATATTGAAAAGAAAGAATCCATTTCAATCATATTTGTAGCCATTATTATGATTATATCAGCAAAATCTTTATTTGGTTGTAGTACATTGGCATTTGATTTGTCTTATCGAGTAGTTTTATTAAAAGAAATATTAGCTTTTATGTCCCATTCTATAAGAATAACTAATCTATCATCTTTAGAAGTTTGTAAAAAATAAAATAAAATCTATGTTCACCTCGAAAAACATGTACAAAACTTCTTTGTCAATGTGAAGAGATTGTATCTTCACTAGATATATAGAAGATACCAAAATCTTCTTTCTTAGTTATCTTAGGCCAACCTATTCATAAGCATCTACTAAATAAGTGTATTATCCTTGTAGAGCTCTTTGAAGGCATTGATATAGGTTTGATAACAATATTAGAGGTTGGCCTT